GGGTGGTCGGTCGTTACGCTTTTTATTATTAGTTAAAATCTTTTAGTTTTTGCGCCTGGCTAAATGTAGAAACCAACACATCGTTTTGTATTAACAAAGATGCTAACATTTTCTAGGTTTATCCACAGGGCTAAACTCTATCCAAATCTAAATAATATGTTTTTAAAAATCTCAAGGTATCTTTATGACTTTTACAGGTTTTTCTACACTGCGAAACTCTTTCCAAACCTACATGGGTTATAAAAAGCTTGAAGTGTCATTATGACCATGTCCTCCTTAATTATATTAACTTGGGCGTTTGGTCGTTACACTTTTGGTATTGGTTATAATCCTTTTAGTTTTCATGTCCGTCGAAAGGTAAGAACAAACATGCTAGTCTTTTTTAACATCGGTGCTTTTATTTTATAGGTTTCTGTACACGGTTAAACTGTATCCAAACCTAAACTTGTTACAAAAAGGGAAAAGTATCTTTATTAATTTGTCATCCTACTGGTTTGAGCAACTTGTGCTGTCGGTCGTTACACTTTTTAGTAATGGTTTTAATTTCCTAGTTTTTGTGCATGCCTGAAGGTAGGAAATTGTGCATGCCTGAAGGTAGGAAACCAAAGTATTAGTCTGTTTTAACATAGATGCTAATATGTTATAGTTTTTTTTTCCACGGCTAAACTTTATCCAAATCTATTTATGTTTTTAAAAAATCAAGCAGCATTTTCATTACTTTGACCTCCTACTAATAAGGGTAATCTTGGTGGTCGTTCGTTACACTTTTAGTTTTGGCTATAATTTTTTTTCTGTTTGTAAATGCTTAAATGTAAGAACAAACAAGTTGTTCTGTTTTAACACAGGTGATGGTAATTTTTAGGTTTCTCTACACTACTAAACTCTATCTAAGTCTAAATAATATGTTTAAAAAATCTAAAAGTATCTTTATCACTTTGTCCTACCAGTATTTTGAGTAATTTTGGTGCTCGGTTGTTACACTTTTAGTATTGGTTATAATTTTTTTGTTTTGTAAATGCCTATATGTAAGAACAAACATATTATTCTATTATAACATATGTAATAGTATTTTATAGGTTTCTCTACACAAATAAACTCTGTTCAAACCTAAATGTTTAATTAATAGCTAAAAGTATCTTTATTACTGTGTCCTCCTACTGTTTTTAGTAACTTAGGTGGTCGGTCGTTACAATTTTAGTATTGGTTACAATCTTTTATTTTCTGTGCCTTGCTAAATGTAGGAACCAAGACATCATTTTGTTTTAACAAAGGTGCTAACATTCTCTATGTTTTTCTACACGGATATACTCTGTCCAAATCTGAATATGATATTTTTTAAATCCAGAAGTTTTTTTTACTACTTTGTCCTTCTTTGGGTAACTTGGTCGGTCGGTCGTTACACTGTTCGTGTTGGTTATAATCTTTTCATTTTTCTGCATTCGTAAATGTAAGAACCAACAAGTTATTCAGTTTTAATACAGGTGATAGCATTTTATAGGCTTCTTCACACTAATGCATTCTGGGGGCTTTCGTGATCTAAAGGTTAAGATGTTCGCCTCTCATTCAAAGGTCTCGGGTTCGAATCCGGGTAGCGACCGAAAATTTTCTTTTCTAAAACTGTCTCCTTTCACCTTCTTTCATTCTCTCTTGAAATATTCTGTTGTCTGCATTCGTCTCCACTTTCTTCCCCCTCAAGTGGGCTCCTGACTCTTTCTGCAGTCTTTCTACTGCAACTCATTGGCTTCCTCTTACTGCTGTCTCTT